GGGTTAAACTAAAATGGCACTTTGATTTTTATTGATTCATAAAAATATAAACTGCTTCGTAAGAACAAAGTTTGACTGGTCAATATTTACCTATAGTCATTTTACCACTGTCTCGCTCTAAGAAATTGATTTCGCTTTTGATTTTTTCTTTTCTTTTACCGTGAATAAGATAAAAAACAAGTGACATCAATAATCACTAGTTAGTTATCCGCGTTATACACATGATAATATGAGATGCAAATAAAATCAGTGGACAATTACAAAAATATCATTTTGTATGTGCACATTTGCAAAAATGACACTTAGGGGTGCTCATTTGTAAAAATGTCACTAATTATAGATTTATAAAACATATATCTTAAAATTCTAAACCCTAAAAAATGTTTTGACCCCTAAAACCCCTAAACCATCATAACTAAACCCTAATAGAACATAATTAACCTAAACCTAAATGATATAAAAAAAATAATTTTGGAAAAGTGGCATTTTTGTAAAGATTTCAAAAGTGTGGCATTTTTGTAAAGTGACACTTGAAAAGTGGCATTTTTTTAAATTTCTCTAAAATCAATATAGTTTTAGTTTAAAAATAATATATAATTATTAGGAAAATTATTATACGAAATCCATAACTCGTTTATACATATAAATTTTGTAATTATTTTGTATATAAATTTATCACACTCGTGAAATAATTGAAAAAACAAATTTTTAGTTTTTTCGTCAATATATATCACTTATTAATAAAATGTATTTATTTAATCTTAATCTTTAAAAATACGGTTTATGAATCAAATATATAAAATAAAAGATCACAAATATAAATTGAATCTTATAGGTTTAACCTAATTATAAGAGTGATAATGTATTTTTTTAAAAATACAAATTTGGATTTAATTAATTGTTCATAAATAGTTTTAGATGCTATCCTAAGAGAAATCTAAAATTTATTTTATATATATAAATTTTACAATTATTTTGTATAGAAATNTGTTACACNTGTGATTTNTTTTTTNNAAAATAATTTTTTAGTCATTTTATATCACTTATTAATCAAAATTTGGTTTATGATTTGGTTTATGATTCAATATATAAAATGAAAGATTCCAAATATAAATTTAATCATATTTAAGGTAATTATAAAAATAGTAATATTTTTTAATAAGTTAATGGTAAGGATTAATATTACAATATTTGAAAAACTAATTTAGGTACGTTTATAAATATTCTAATATGTTTGGCAATGGGATTATAATTATTTTAATTTTAAATGTGTTTGCTAATTAGATAATATTTTAATTAATATTTTCATATTTGAATTTAATGAAATTAATTATATTTGGTTATATTTGTATTATGAAAAGTGTTTGGTTAATAGGATAGTAGTCATAAAAAGTGTTTGACTAATACGATAGTAATAATTATTATAAAATTTAAATTATTTTAAAAAATTAAAAAAAAATTTGGTGTTAACACGTCAGTTAAATTGTTCTCCCAATGCTTTTTTTTTTAATAGATAAAGGATAATTATGAGCGTAGATTTCCTATTGGTTTTCCTCCTTCCAAATTACGACAAAACATACATGGAAATGTTGTGACCATAATTCAAAAAATTTTTTAAAAAAATTTACAAAGAAAGAAGACGAGATGACGTCATCGATCCACTCTCTTGGTTTAAACTATGAGCTGTCAATCTTTCCTCACTTTATTTACACGTACGACAAAAAATGGGTTTCAAGGTTTCAACAGTCTTTTAATGTTTATTCAGTTGATTCAAAGTTTCAAAACCTTGTTTTTCATTTATTAGGTTTTTCAGTGTACGATTTATAATAAAGTTGGCTCCTTTCTTGCAAAAACCAGCTTTATCATTAATATTGATGACGTTATTATTAATGGTAAACATAAAAACTTAAGATCACTCAACCATTAATGATAAAGTTGGTTCCTTTCTTGCAAAAACCTTTACCATTAATACCGATGACATCATTAATGGTAATTTGGTAAACATAAAAACTTAAGATCACTCGACCATAATGATAAAAGTTGGTTCCTTTCTTGCAAAAACGTTCATTTATTCATTAATCAGATGATTAAGATAGAAACTTAAGATAAAACTCATCAACCATTAAAGATAAACATAAACCAGAACAAGATTCATGAGACTCGATCAACAACGACATAGATAGATTAAGGAGAGATCCATTTATTTAAAACAAGTCATAGAGACGACGACCCAACTTAAAACCCTAGACAGTACCATTAAAGGACAAGAGGAGGAGTCGAAAAAACACTAGTCATAGACCTTATTTAAACCCTAGAGACCATTACGATAAGAGACAGAAGGCTGATTCATCATCAAGCAAAGTCATCTCTTGTTATCTTACAGTAAAGCATCTTCTCAGTGACATCAGTGGTAGCGTTTTTACCAGGGATCTTAGGAACAGTGATCCAGAGAACTCCATTGGCAAGCTTAGCCTTTGCTTCTTTGACGTTGTAGGCCTTTGGGTTGATCATCATGGTTCCACCGTATTTGCGACCGGAGTAGTTGTATTCTGGCTTGTCTTGTTCATCAGCAAAGAAATGAAAGTTGGTGGAGTCGACCGAGTAAGAGAGATCCGATCCAGGACAACCCGGCATATCAACCCTAAAGATGCAAGCGTTCTTAGTATCCATCACTTCGTAGACTGACTCACTGCCACTTTTCTGAAACCTGTTTCTCGCTAAAACCCATAAAGAAACAAACTTTAGCATTAGAGACACAAATCTTAAGAGAAAGACTAAACCAAACATAAAAAAAAGATTAGATTTTTACTGTGACCAAAAGTAAAAAAGAAGGCTTACGTATCGGAGGAGGATTGTTTCCGCGGGAGCTTCCTGGTTTGGTGATGGCTGATGACATCTTGCGACTCATTTTCTCAAAAACGATGCTTTTTGTTCTTTTTTTTTGCTTTTCTGGAAACGGTGTGTGAGTGAGATTTCTCGCTACTGTCTACTTACTGTTTATAGCCGGCGAGGGAGGATTATAGGGTTGGTAAAAGGCCTGGCTTATGCTATTATGGGCCTCGAATTCGACCCAGTGAGTTTAGTAACAGATGAGCCCTAAAAGTTGAAAACTTGGTGAAATCTCTCTCTGTAGAGAGTTTAGTGTCAAGTAGGTACGTCATTTTATTCCCTTGTATCCTTCATTTAGATTGTTTAATCCAGCTACTATGGTTTTTAATTCTTACTGAAAAGATAGTCATTTGATGGAAACCAGAAATTGAATCAAACACTCTGCTCGGAAATGTTAAGTTTGGCTGTTCATTTTCTCTTCTCAATCAGTTAAAAAGCTCATTTTATCTTGTGTATATACATTGTTTAATTAATCAAAGCTATGGTTCTTGATTCTTTCTACATTTTATCTTTAACCACTGTGTGACCGTGTAAACGAATCAGTCAACAATCCTAAAGTGTAAATTTATGAGCTGTCACAATA